GAATAATTGCTATCCGGACTGACTGTGAGGGTTGGAAATGTAAAGGTAGATGTTATGTAGCCAAAGGAGGGGAGTGGTTGACTTTGCAATACAGGAGCAGAGGTCCCTGGGACCATCAAGGGAGAAGAGCAGAGGGCAGGACCCTAACCAGAGAAACAGTGACATCAGAGATGGAGGCAGAGGCTATGAAGTGGAGAGATGGAGCGGCTGGGGACTCTAGACCCAGAGAGGGAGAGAGGGGCTGTGTGCTGGGGCTGGGGGGTGGGGGGGGTAGGCTTGCAGGGTGTACCCTTTGGTTGTTTAATGATGCATGGAGGGGATTTAACCATGACAAGGAAATGATATAGGATAGGATGAATGTAAGGCTAATGTTCGCCCATGTAAACTATCACATAATTCACAATAAAACATTTTAAAAAAAAGGTAAGACAATATGGCTGTGATTTATTTGTAGCAGCATTATTGAAATGCACAAAATTGCAAAGCCAAATATTGTTAAGTGCTATGGGGTTGGTTCTGACTCATAGGGATCCTGCATAGGAACTCCCAAGACAAATATAGTTAAAATTTAGATGAACGTTAGATGAAAATATTTTTTAAATTCTGTGATTTTAGAAGGTTTTTGAGATAAGCTATGTTATTAAATTAATATTTGAATTAAGTTTATAGGTAAGTAGTTGGATATCAGGGATAGTTATGTTTAAGTTTGCAATTACAGTACTAAAATTTTGAACACATTTAGCAAAACTCTTTTGCTCAAATCTATACTGATACTGCTGATAATAAACCGAGTGTTGTTATTGATGTATGTGCTTTGAAGTTGGTTCCAAATCTTAGCAGCTCTATATAAGGTTTCCAAGGCTGTAAATCATTTCACGAGTAGAAAGTCTCATCTTTCTCCTGTGGAGCAGTTGGTGGGCTCAAATTGCAGACCTCTGGTTCATACTCCAGTGCTTATTGTATGGATCATTAGCGTCTTTAGAAAGTGTGTGAAGTGGCAAAATCCAATTTACTTGTGCCCTGGAAATCAGGTTATTTAAAGAATGAGTTAAACTTGTAATAATTAAAATAAAATCTTGTGATTTTAATGTGAAACCCAATTCTTAATAATCTAATTTTTTAAGGTATTTATTAGAGATTGAGTAAACATTTACAGAGCAAATCATCAGTGTTACATTCAACAAATCATACACCTTATTTCATTACAATGATTATAATCCCCTCCCCCCGCCATGTACCATCTGTTAACGGTATATCTCTATATTCACTTTAGCTCTTTTTTTTTTAAACACTCAGGCATATATAATAATTTATACCACCAAAGGGCACATTCTGCAAGTCTGCCTCCTGGTTGCCAGTTTTTAGTCCCCCTCTTCCCATGAATCTAGAGTCCTCCTCAGCTGCCCCCTCTCTCCATGTCCTCATCTCTGGCGTCGCTGCTTCTCTGGGTGAGGTCCCACATTCCGCTTGTGCTCTTCTCCCTTGATGGTCCTAAGGTCCTTTGTTTCTGGACTGTAAGATTAACTACTCCCCAGTTTTTATTACAAAACTTCTACCTTCACAATTGTAACAGTCACGATTAGTCATGATAACAATTATTCACTATTGAATCGTAAGGATCTTATCCCCATCTCTTTTAACCAGACCCGTTTAGACAAAAAAGGAGCTCTGGTAGCATAGTGGTTTCGAATTGGGCTGCTAACCTCAGGGTTAGCAGTTCAAAACTACCAGCTGTATAGGTCAAGTTCATCGAACTGTAGCAGTTTGCCCTCATTTCCTTTATCAAAAATTGTTTTGTTCTTTTTTTTTTTTTTTTTTAATCTTCCTTTAGTCTAGTTCTGATTATCAAGCCATTGAGGCTAGGTCCAGTGAGTACTATCTGTAACTTTGGGTGTTCTTGTGCGTCTCCCTCACTGCATATTAGCTGGATGCATCACTCTTGGCTCTAGCCCTCTGTGGCTATGTCCTTATCCATGGGCTCAGGTGTCCCCAGGTCTCACCACACTTTGGACCCAACCAGCCCTTCTTCTTCTCTCTCACATCTCCAGATTAACAGGAGTCTATGGAACACGATTGAACTCAGTCCATTTCTTCATTGCTGCCTTTCTCCCTCTTCCACTCACCAGTAGACCAATGTGGTCTCCAGCAAGCTTACATGCCTGCTCATGTGTTCTCTTTTGAGTTTTAGTCTTAGAGCGGGGTTTGTCACAGTCTTTTAAATGGGGGGAGGAGGAGGGAATGTGCAAGTTAATTCAGCAGACCTCAGATGCATACATCTTTTCTCTGAAAAGCAAATGCTTATGAATATTAAGCATTTGTTAATTCAGTATTAATAAACTGAGTATGCATGGGCCAAAGATTGTTGTTGTTAAGTGCTGTTAAGTCGGTTCCAACTCATAGTGATTCTGTATAGGTTATCTGAGGAGCAGCTGGTGAGCTTGAACCTCTGACCTTGGGGGTCATGTCAACTTTGCAGTCCTGCACATTAACCCATAGTGCCACACCAGGACTCTGGGCCAAAGATTAATAGCAATCAAATGGCCACCAAGGGTCTCAAAAAAAAAAAAAAGAAAAAAAAGTGGGAATCAGGTTTCCTGCTTTGGTTGCATACACTCTGGCTCATCCTGCTTTAGGAGGTGTAAGACCCTAATTCAGCTTCACTTGAGGTGTCAACATAGTGTAACAAGTGTTAGTCAAGGAATATGATCTCGTCTGTCCTTCCAGCAAATAGCCTATCACTACTTGGTGGTCCTTAACCCTGTTGACTAGGGAATAGGATAGAAGGGAGTTGACCATCTTAAGCTGTCTGCTGGCTGATCAGAATCTATACCCAGCAGGAACAGAACAATTGTTTCCTGATAGTGACTGGGTGCTTGAAATGGCACTGAGATAGGCAAGGAAGAGAACTGCCCAGCATTGATTCCACTGTGATAAACCCTACGAATCATTACTTATCTAGACCTCCCATTTGTTCACAAATATACTGATGCCTTTCTGTAAGTGTGCTGGTGGTGGTTGTCCGGAATTTCAAAGCCAACAAAGTGTGGTCTATAGCCAATACATCGAGAAGTCAGTTTCACCAGCAAGCTTGCGACCTTGACCATCTTTGGATTATACTGCCTGACCAAGGAAAGCAGGGTCATTGCTTTGCCAGTGTCAATTATATCTTCAACAATCAGGACATTGTTTCTAGTCAAAGTTTAGAGATCATCTCTACCAATTACTTTGGTGGCCCCAGTTGACTGGTCATTGCAGTAGCTCTTCAGTCTGATGAAATCTACAGTCATAGGAATGGATCTGTCATTATTTCTGTTCAGTGCCTTGGTATAATCCAGCAGGTCAGCAAAGAATTTATAGCCCCCCTTGAACACACAGAGAGCTACAATGTGATGGCCTCCCATCTCTTTCATCACATCTCAAGCAAGCCGCTTGGTCCTGTCCATAATTAGTCCATGAGGAATGAACACCTTCTCCAAATCCTCCACATAACGATTAGGTGTACAAAACAAATCTAGGTCATAGCTGGGCCTATCATCACTAATCACGATGCAGGAACTGTGGGTCCATAGCTGAGCTGTCTGTCGTGAGCTGAAGGCGGCCAAACGCTAGAAAGCCGGCGGAGGAGAGAGGAGGAGACAGAGGCAGGGACTGAGACTGTAAATCTTTACGGGAGCAGAAAGCTTCATCTTTCTCCCATGGAACAACTGGTAGTTTTAAACTGCTGACCCTGAGGTTAGCAGCCTGATTCGTAACCACTTGGCTACCAGAGCGCCTTTCTGTAAGCATATCCTCCTCAAACTCAGTTGCCTTAGGCTCTTTGTGGACCCCTAAGGAGTCTTGGTGTGGCACTGTGGGATAAAGCACTAGACCACAAGGTCAGTTTGAACCATAACGGTGGTGGTTCAAATTTATCATTTGTTCCTTGGAAACCCTATACAGAGTCGCTATGAGTCGGAACCCACTTGACGGCACTTAACAACAACAACAACAACAGCAATGACTCTACAGTCCTGACTGGAGAGTAGGCCTGGTTTTCAGGTCTAAAAGAGTAGCTCCTGTGCCTTATAAAAAGTCAGTCTCCTTACCTCCTGTACTGAGAGTAACACTTTTGAGGGTCTGTTTTCCAATGGTCTTTTTTTTATGGACTGGTGCAGTATTTACTGATAGATGAGGAAACCCAGTAGGTGGGTTTAGGAGCGCCATACTCAACAATTGGGCCTTTTTATTTTTAGATGCCAGATCCCTGTTTTCAGACACCTTAGAGTTATGAGAGTGGAGTTTGGAGCCCTACCTCTATCTTTTGTGACTTTCTAATACCTCCTTCAGACTGATTAAGAACATGAACATGCATAGTCATTCATGTTTTACTTATAGAAAAATTTGCTTTTAGAATGTATTTTTCCAAAGGGATGGACTTGAAACTACTCAGTATTTTCAAACGTAAGAATGTATTTTGCTCTTAACTAAATTAGAAACTTTGTGTGTATGTATGGAGGCTGCTATTTAGAAGTTTAGCTGGTAAACCTGCACAGTTGTTGCCTAGTTTTTTCAGCTGCAGATGATAAAACTTAATAGGATCACATTTATCCTATAATTGTTGTTGTTAAATGCCATTAAGTTGGTTCCAACAACACAAGGTTCCAACCTTGTATAGAGTTTCCAAGGAATGGCTGGTCTGTTTGAACTGCCAGCCTTGCAGTTCAAACATTCCTTGTGGTCCAGTACGTCCCTTTCCATCCCTAAATAATTTACGTCATCTGTGCTGCCTCTCATGCTTTTGAGCATATGAACCCCATTCCCATCTTTCTTATTTTTGGCTATGGGAATTTAAGGCTTAGAGGTCATGTTGCTAAGGAGCACAATACTAAGGGACAGAATTAGGTCCTTGGACCTTGACCTCTGGAAGACCCAGTTGATGGTTTTTGTTTTTTTTTTTTACCAAAGTTCCAGTGATTTGCATTAACTTGGCAAGTAGAAAGTCTGTAATCTTGGCGCCTACCATGATTAGAAAGTGTTGTGCTGTAGGATAAGCACTGGCCTGCTAACCACAAGGCGTGTAGTTCAAACCTACCAGCTGTTCCTTGGAAACCCTATACAGGTTCTCTGTGAGTTTGAACCAACTCAACAGCACTTAACATGGTTCGAGCAGGTCATAGGAATTAATGATACTACAAAGTGAAGTTTTGTCTTAAATAGTATAGGTAGGTCCAAATATATTTTATATTGTTACTTATTTTTATGATTTTCATATATCTGTTTACTATTTTTAATTATAACTCTCTTGTTTTAGCTACAAGGCCTTGGTCGACCAAGTGTATACCATGCTGCTATTGTCATCTTCCTTGAATTCTTTGCGTGGGGCCTGTTGACAACTCCCATGTTAACTGTAAGTATTGTTGAACTGAGTCATTATTTGTGAGTGCTTTATTATTTAAAATGCTTTTTAAATTTTTATTTTGTTGTTGAAAATATACCCAGCAAGCAAAACATACAGTTCAACAGTTTGCATGTAAGACTCAGTGATGTTGATTGCATTCTTTGAAGTGTGCAGTCACGATCACCCTCCTCTTTTGAGTTGTTCCTCTTCCATGAACATAAACTTACTTCCCCCTATTGTTCCTGTCTAATCCTTCAGGTTGCTGGTTATCAGTTTGATCCTATATAAATAGATTTTGAAAAAGCAAGGCAGACATTCTTTACTAGTTGATCTAAACTATTGTTTGGTTTCCAGAAGACTTCAGGTGATAGTTTTGGTTTAAGGTTCTTGAGTGTTAACTTAGGGCTATAGTTTCATGGGTTTATCCAATCCCCATGGCTCCAGAAAGAATTCATTGTTATTCTAGAGATCTTAAAATTTTATTCTGACTTCCCCGCCCTTCTTTTAAAAAATTAAATCACATTGAATAAAGGTAGAATTTCACAGCCTGTCATTATTATTTTTCTTTTTATAGTAAATTGGGTGAAAGTGTACAGAGCAGGCTAGTTTTCTACTCAATAGCTCATTTACATGTTGTTTCATCACATTGACTGATTCCCCACATCGTTTATCCTACTCTTTCCCTGTGTCATCTAATTAATTATTGCAATGTTATAGTATAAATGGAGCTTGAAGATGTTATGTTGAGCAATTAAGTCATTTCCCAATGGACAAATAACTGTGTTTACCTAACATATAAAAAGACAAAAGAAAGCAAGTTTAAAAAGTTATCAGGCGTTGAGTGTAAAACCAATGTTCTCCCATGTAAATGATCACTCAATTCACAATAAAAACTTAAAAAAAAAAAGTTATCAGGGTTGGGAAAGAGGGTGCAGAGGTAGGGTAACAATAAATCTTATTGACTGAGGGTAGGGATGCACACCTTATTATTCTAATTGCTGACAGTATGTTGTACACTTGTAAAAAGTTGGTTCTGCAAAAGTAATGTGATAGATACGTTTACAACAATGACTAAATAAATAAACAGCAGCTGCTGAGGCTGCTTATGACTACTGTGGTGTAGTGGATTATCTAATGTTTCTACTAGCCATAGCCTCAGCCTGAAGACCATAGTTTGTAACTCCCACCAAAAAACATTTCTGCCCTGCTGGTCTGGATAAGAGAAAATGGGAGAGAAGATACTGATAGGATGACATGATTTAGCTGTGGATGTTAGCAGAGTTAATAGCAATTATACTTGAAACTCTAGCCATCTCAGAAGCAGAAGGCGGGATCTCACTACCATCAAAGAAGAGCCAGAGTGGTACGTGTCCTATGGACACCGAGATCCCTGTGCATTGAACCTCCTTGACCCAGGGACAGAGAGCTGTGACACTAGAGGAGTGACCAAGGGGCAGTCGCAGCCTAACCAAGAACCACAGCAGTGGACTTCCTAGCCCATGAAGCAAGTAAAGCTGAGTGACTTTGGGTAGGAAGCTTGCTTGTAGAGTGGGGTGCCTCCGGGCACATAAGTGGTGGGGAGCATGGTTTATTAACCCACGGAGCTAGAGCCAAATGCCTTCAGGCTGAGGATTATGGTGGAGTGGTGTGTGCAGTGGACATTTATTAGCAACTGACTAGAACAACTGTGTCCTGAGCATTTCTAATCCTTGAACTGTAACCTTCCCTAATAAACCCCATAACGGTGAGTATAATCTTTGAGTTCTGTGTGGCCCCTTGTATTGAATTATCACATCCAGTTGAGTAGAGAGGGCTATGGGAAAATGGTGGATGGCCACATATTGTTGCAACTGACGAATACCTTCAGGAATTTGGTTCCTTAGTTTGAAGATTTAAGGTCATGGTTTTATGGCACATCCCAGTTAATTTAGTGTTTCTATTCTATCTTCTAGTTAGTGAGCCAGGTATGGTACAGTATGATAAGCACTAGACTGCTCATTACAAGGAAACCCGATGTTGTTAAGTGCCATCAAGTCATTTCTGACATAGAGACCCTGTTTAGGGCTTCCAAGGAGCAGCTGATGAATTTGAACTGCTGACCTTGTGGTTAGCAGTCCAGTGTTTAGCCTAAAAAAAAAAAAAGAGAGACAAGGTTTTGCATAATTTTGATAATTTTGATCTGAAACGTCATGTTAATATTTCTAATACTGGTGGTGTTGATGGTAGTATGCCATCAAGTTGGTCCAACTCATAATGATCCTGCATAGGGTGACCAAGCCAGTAAGTATTTATAAGAGCAGAAAGCTTCATCTTTCTCCTGCAGGTTGCCTGATAAATTTGAACTACTGACCTGCGGTTAGCAGCCTAACACGTAACCACTATACAACCAGGCCTCCCTATTTCTAATACTGCTATTGTTATGTGTTGGTTCTGACTCATAGCGACCATGTGTAGGGTTTCCAAGCAACTGCTGATAGTTTTGAACCACCAAACTTGTGTTTAGTAATCCAGTGCTTATCCTATATTATATCCTATACACTTCTAATACTTGTTGGGTGCTTTTGATTTAGGTCTGACTGATAGTGACTTTATGCACAACAAAAGAAAACACTGCTTGGTCCTGTACCATCTTCACAGTGGTCATTAAGCTTGAACCCATTGCTGTTCCCACTGTGCCAATCCATCTTGTTGGGGGTCTTCCTCTTTTTTGGTGACCCTCCACTTACCAAGCATGCTGTCCTTCTCCAGGGATTGGACCCTCCTGATGTGTCCAAAGTATAGGAGATAAAGTCTTGCCGTCCTGGCTTCTAAGGAGCATTCTGGCTGTACTCTGCCAAACTCATACTACATATAAGCAATACTAGGGGTGATTATTTTTGGCATGTCATGAGTGAATTACTGTATTTGACCAAATCATTGTAACCAGTAGTAAGATCCCAAGAAACATGATATAAAAGGGATATGGGCCATATCGTTGGGCTATAACTGATTGGATTATCTAAAGGGGGACTAGAATGTGCCCAGGGAACTAGACTTCTTGTTAAGCTTTTGTGGAGTATGGGGCCTTAGGTAGAATCCTGAACCCCACCCAGAACCTTCAGAGATGGGACATTCCCAATTGCAAAGACATGCCAGACTAACCCAGATCAGCTAGAGGAACAGAGATACTTCTTGAAAGAAAGACCTGTGGGGTGAGGGAGGAAAAGTATTCTGTGTGTCTATGACAGTATCAAGCAAGTTGTTTGCCTTGGAGCCATCAAGGCAAGAAAAGTCAGCCCATCGGGGTAAACCCCTTTCTAAGACTGAAACTCAAAGGGAACACAGTAACAGACTTGCTGGTGACCACCCTGGTCAACTTGTATATGGAAGTGGGGGAAATGCAGCAATGAAGACGTGGGCTGAGTTTGGCCGTGTTCCATATACACCCCATGGTCTTGGGATGAGAGAGAGATGAGGATGGGCTGGCTGCTTTGAAGTTCAGGGAGATCAGTGAACTCCTAAGCCAAAGGACACTGACCTAGCCACTAGGGGCTTGAGTTAAGAGTGAAGTGGCCAGCTGGTCTGAAGGTGGGGGGAGGAGTGCAAAAACTCCCAGACTTGCAGATAGTACCCACTTAACCTACTTTGGATGGCTTGCTGACCAGAATCAGATGAAGATAAGGAGGGTTGATAAAGGGAGCAAGTGTAATTTGCCACAACTTGATGAACTGGACCTCTGCTTATGGGTGAAGTTGCCCAGAATTCCAACTGAAAGAAAAGGATTCTTCATTAAGGATCAAGCTTGCCTCCTTAGTATAGGGACAGTTAACTTAAGACTTGGGCTATCAAAATTGGGGGACTATAAAGACATGAAGTGTCAGGCTTACAAGCTATCGTGAGGGTGCCCAGTGTCAGAGCAAATAGGGTAAGATAGAATCCCCACTGAATGGTTTTCCTCTTGTCCAGTTGTGTCTAGTGATGATAGGGATAGGATTTTATGATTCAATTGTGAGTAATTGTTAGTCAGAACTAATGGCGAATGTCAAAGCTGTAAATGTTGAAGATTTATAACTAAAAGAAGGGGGAGGAGTTAATCTACTATTTCAGGAACAGAGGACCCTAGGACCTTACATCAAAGGAACGAGGGATCCTAATCAGAAAAGTGGCAACAACAGTGGTGATGGCATACAGAGACAGAGCATCAGAGGACTATAGCCACTGAAAAAGGCAGTGTGCTTGCGGGCAGGAGACTGGCTTGCAAATATATGGAGATTTAAGCAAATATATGTTTTTTTTTCAATGTGATGTATGTATATCAAGAGGAATAAAAAAACAAGAAATAGAGGTAAATATTATAAGCTGATGGTGCATGGAAGGGGTTGTAATCATTGCAGTGATTTGTTGAATGTAAAACTGATGATCTGCCTTGTAAACCTTCACAGTTCACAATAAAAACTTAAAAAAGGAATATGGGCCAACCAATTATGGTCTCATAAGGGAAGAATTTGTTTTCTAAAAGGTGTACTTTGATAGTCATTAAAGTCAGCTGAAGAACCTTTGGCCAAAGGAGACCAGTCTCTTTTATTAATTTTTATAGTTTTAATTTTAAAACACCAGTTAACTTTTCTACTTTTTCAAAAGATTTGGGGTAATAGTGGCAATAATGTGATACTGGATGGAGAGTTATTTAACTAATTGTTTAATTATGTGGCCTTTGAAATGTATCTCTTGATCATTAGACATGGAAAAGGGTGTCCTCATATAGTAAAAACTATGTTCCGAAAGTTTTCTTAGGTATACTGATAGTGTCTGCTTCCCTAAAGGAAAAAGGTTTAATTCATTGTTACAAACAATTGACAGTCATGAGGAGTTTCTTCATCAGGTAGGGAAAAATTGAATTCAGATTATTGTACCTCTGAATATAGAGGTGATATGAGAAGAAGAAGAAAAAAAAGTATATAAGCTGCAAACTGTCTCAGAGACAGTAAACATTAAATCACACAAAAAATCCAGAGTAGATGGTTCAAGAA